CCACCATCATCATCACCATCTTCATGAACCACCATCTTCATCATGACCACGTATCATATAATAAATCTTTATCCATATACTCACGAGTGGCCAGTTTCATGTGCGAGCGTTTTTCCAACCATGAGTCCGTTGTCTTCACAAATTGATACGGAGTTAGGAAACTGACACATCCCCCCAACATTGGTTACACCTGGCAATGAAGAATTATTTTAGCCGACCTACATATGTCAAGTATCAAAGACATTTTCATGATAGGCGACGGTTAAAACAGAAATCAAATCATTTGTACTCTACCCACCTAATGTGTCGCAAGGCTGGTTTTTGTCTTTACAAATGTCATATCTTAAGACAAAAAGGACAATTTCATTATCCACTTTTTACGGGCAGACCCGGTACTCATTCATCAGTTGAGTCAACCGTACAGGTACCACCCATAAGGAAGGTTTACCGTAAGTGAGGTCAGTGATGAAGACTTAATGTGAAACACTTTGCTCTCTGGGGATCGCGTTTCTGAAGCAATCGTAACATAACCTTTCTACGGGGAACATTTTATGTTTTCAAACCTTCTTTAATATAATGTAAATTATGGCTTTTTCAAATTGAAAAATATATAAAATATGTCATTCAAAATCAGCTTCTTATTCTTATATCTTACTGACTAGTATTTAGCATTGATCAGCTGGTTAATCAGCCATTCCGAAGTTGATGAGAGGACTGGGGACGAGTGTTAAAAAGTGCCCAAATTAAGAAATGAACCAAATCACTAAAAAGACCACCTCATTTGAAAACGTTTACATGAATACCTTTCGAATAATAAGCTTTCAAAAATTGAGTAAATATCGCGATTTTCGAAAGCTTTTATTCGAAGGGTATTCATGTAAACGTCTTCAAACTTTGTTTACTTGCTAATTTTTAGGTTGTCCTTTTAGTGATTTCTTAATTTGGCCACTTTTTAACAATCGTCCCCAGTCCTCTCATCAACTTCGGAATGGCTAATTGCCTTGTACTCACATACAGACAAACACTCTGCTGTACTCTGCTCGCTCATACAATTACACGAGAATCTAATGTGCAGTATGCTACTGTAATGTACTGGCATCTTGGTGTCAACAGTTATTCACACTTTGCGTATGGAAATAGCCAGACTTCCAAAGCATTTACGAAATAATTCCGTCTCACCTGGTAAACAGAGTGGCGTAGTCGTAATGTTGTGGGTCGGAATCATCAGGAACTGTATTCCTTTCTGCCCATTTACCAAAACTTGATAGCGAATTCATTGCATGATTGTTGATCAACAGTCCTTCCTAGTGATGACATAATCTCAATATCTACTTCATTCTGTCGATGATAAAATTTTACTTCTGTCTAAAGACATATTTACTTGCAAGTGTTGTTTACAAGTGAATTTTCTTCACTTGAATCCAGTGGGTTTTTTTCGTCCGTCTTTGTATGTATGTATGTGTGTTGCGTGCTTATCTTTCAGCGCGATGGACATTGTCCAAGGACAAATTGATTAAATTTTGGTTAAATTTGGCTGGAAATTGGATGAAGGGTTAGCAAAAATTTGTCTTGATTTGCTGGTCAGAGTAAACTGAATTCGTAATTAGCAATTGTATAATTTATTCATGATACATAACTTAATTCTCTGGCGGAGATGTGTAGTCTCTGATTGTCTTCTAGTTCAAGAATGAACTCATTCACTCATACCTGTGGCGTTGTATGTATTTGCATTTTGGTGATGACCAGGTTGATAGGATTAGAGCCGATTGAGGAATCCTTCAGCAAACCTGACGCCTGTGTAAAAATAGTGGATTTTGCAGTGATAGGCGGGAAATGTGATAGTTCGAATATAAAGTTCATTGGTAACAAATTAGCCTACGTTGCAGGCGCTATTAGGGGGTGGGCGAGGGTGGGAGAAACTAGGGTGGAAGGCGAAGACGAGAGAAAGAGAGCGAGGAAAAATGGGAGGGGCGAACGGATTGTCTTTGCTAGATCCAGCAATAACACAGCTATCGAGTCGGAATGAATATACAGTATGATTTACATCTATCCAACAAAATTGATTGTGAAACTCATTAATAATTCATTAAGAAAACACATAAAGAAATCATAAGGAGTTTGTATATCTGATACAAAATCATGTTGATTTACAAAAACTTTAAGTTCAATTTTCTCACCAAATATCATTCATTTATTTTAAATTGTTGAAGAATATCAATGTTCTCATCAAGACGTTTCACATACATTGTATATTCGACACGGCCGCTTGTACTTTTACACTTACTATATTACAAGCTGCTAGAGTAAACTGTTTTGCTGCGTCCTCGCCATGGAATGCGCACATCTTTTCATCAACGACAACCAAAGTCTCAATGTATCGTTCAGCATCTTTACTGTCATCCCCGCTCAATGAGTCTGGCTCTACATCCAGTTCTCGTGGAAGTCGTATTCTGGGGTCGTCTGTAATCAAATAATGCAAGAATATGTGTGCAATGAAAGCATTCTTGTATGGCCATGAGTTAAGCCAGCTACTGTAGGTCGAGGGTAGGGTATGTAAGCAGTTTGGGTTTACTTCCCAAGGAAGGTTTGGAAATGGATAACATCAAGGAAGATTTAGTTATAGATTGAAAGTAATGATTTCAAATTGCAACCTTTTCATTCAGGGGAATTAATTTTGAACGAGGAGAGATTTTAAATCTGTTATATTCCTTACGAATTAAATCGATACATGTTTAAATTAGTTATACTGTCAAGCAAATATCTTCTTCTACTTAACGTGAACGATATAGCTTCCCACAGTTCTTCTAATGAGTTTTAAATCTTTTTAAACACGAGATAATGCGACTAATTATTCACTGGCAAATTTCAAACGGAAGAGAGGGTACTATAATAACCAGTTTCTCTTTAGGCAACACTTTTGTATTCCTACCTATCACAAGAAACTTTAAGAACCCCTTCTATAGCATGTCAGCAATACCACACTGTAGATTTGCGGTGATCAGATTAGACACTCCATCCAGTTCTGGTTTTAGGTCAGTGATTAAAAGATATGTGACTTGGCGCTTACCTTCAGTACCGCAAAACGTTGTTTTTCTCTCGGTAACTGTCGATCTTTCCCGTCGTGTCATTCTGGATGATCCACTTTTGTAAATGATATGAGGATGGCTATAGCTTGGTCCAGATCGTTTGTATCGGTCAGCAATATGTCCAGGCAGCGGTTCAATGAAATATGATTGGTCGTGTACATGTATAGCCCCAGCCTATGGCGAAGAGAGAATTGTTGTTTTCAAATTGTTTGTTTACGTTGAAATATTGCATCGGAAAATCTTGATGGTTCCTCAAATATTTTTTTTTGGCTACACTAAAAAACATTGTTGCTAAAAAGGTTTCTTGAATGTGAAATGTTTACCAAAATCTGCTTTGGTCACTTTTGGGAAACGTGGTTAGGATGAAGAAACAATGGTCGCTTTCCATTAACACGGATAGACTGGTCAGAACGGTCAAATTGTTGAATGGAACACAAAACATTTGGGCTTCGGACCTATCTGACCGGAAAATTTAGATAACATTAGAATGAGGTCCATTTTCGCTAGATATTTGAGAAACATAGACCAGATCTTTCCATTTGTACAGAGAGAATAATTCGGGTCTGACCGGTCAGGCCATTAAATGGAAAGTGTTTCCTGGCATGTCCACCTTCGGGAAACATGCATGGCTAGGAAACAATGTTTCCTGGTTTGTCCACCTTTGAAAAACATGGCTAGGAAACAATGTTTCCTGGTTTGTCCACCTTTGAGAAACATATGGCTAGGAAACAATGTTCCTGGAGGAAACAATGTTTCCTGGTTTGTCCACCTTTGAAAAACATGGCTAGGAAACAATGTTTCCTGGTTTGTCCACCTTTGAGAAACATATGGCTAGGAAGCAATGTTTCCTGGTTTGTCCACCTTTGAGAAACATGGCTAGGAAGCAATGTTTCCTGGTTTGTCCACCTTTGAGAAACATGGCTAGGAAACAATGTTTCCTGGTTTGTCCACCTTTGAGAAACATGGCTAGGAAACAATGTTTCCTGGTTTGTCCACCTTTGGGAAACATGGCTAGGAAAC